GAAGTTTTCCGATTGATAAGCGTTATAACAATCACAGTTATAGCTTCCAAAGTTTATAGCACACTGACTATAGCAAATTAATAATAGATACTCTTTTTTTAGCGCGTCGCGTTGGTTATATTTATAGGCGTGTGGAGGCTTTCTCGAATTTTCAGCTTTACGTAACAATACTGGCGCTAACACGTATATACATACATTGTTGATTCTTACACTCGAGAATCTTCTACAATTTTAGATAATCGGCGGGAGTTTCGCAATACATATTTAACACTATAATCTTTGTATGTTTCTAAACATAAATTTAATCTAAACAAACGTCGATAGTAAATTAAATATATAATAATAAATCCGTCACACAAAATAATTCATTTACACGTTTTACAAAGGTGGATGATGTTCTACATACACATTGTGTTACTAAGGCAATTTGTTTTTCAATGTGTCTCAACATATGATTACGTCATCAATGTCCTACGTTAAACTTATTTAACATTAACGGTGTTATACAAGTCAGTTTTTATCATACATTCATTTGAACGAAACAAATAATTTACAATTCTCTATTTGAAAGAATTTGATCATATCTAGTGTTTTTACAAATATTGAATGCATTAACCTACTGATTTAAGATCTCGTTTGTTAATAAATTCTGTAGTAAACCAATAGATGTCGTATGTTCGGACTTAACCTAAGAAAGTCGTCGTATGTTTAGATTGAATATAAGTGTTTTTTTGTAGGAAGAAACTTCTGTTATCTCGGTATTTGTCTGCTACTTTCACTTAGACCTCGAGGATGTTGTTAAACACTCAGTCCCTAACGTTTTTTTCTTTTCACTGGCCGAAATAACGCCGTAGTGACAATACGTACACCAATTTACCGTCAAAAGACATCAACGATCACAAAACTATTGTAAAAGTCTCCATTCTCTGCTAGTCACCTTTTGTTCTTCACTATAAAAACTTAGGTAAGTGTAACTTAACGAAAACCGTGTAATAATGTGATATGACTTTTCCTATTACTACAGTGAACTAAATATCGTAAATCTTATAACAACAGAAGTATAACAAGGATTATACACTAACTTGCATGAAAGCTAATTTCATCTTGGTAGTCCATACATATTGTGTTATTTGTAAATATTCAAGTTTATTATGCTGTCAGAGGACTTAATCTCTCAGATAAAAATTGTTTAAATTGTAAGACGGACGATACTGAGATTTCTTTACGTGCCTAAATGATTACACTTTCAAGATGTTAGACTATGTATATAACTTTGTGTGTTATATTTAAACGACAAATACATGAGTTCTAAATCAAAAACAGAAAGTAGCAACCTAGAAGTAGAAAATAATTTCATATTGAACCTTCAAATCTTGCTTATTTCATATATTTCTCATTAGAGTTCGAGATGGATAACCGTCTACTACATACACCCTTTACGTGTTTAGTGTCAGGTCCGACAGGAAGTGATAAATCACAGTTTGTTAGTAAAGTTTTAACTTATCATCGTGAAGTAACTTATCCTCTGTATGCATAAATACTGTCATTCTGATTTTGATAAAATAAGGAAGAGATAATATTAACTTCTTATTGTTCTAAAGAAAACGAGTTAATAACAACGGAGACCTCTAGGATCAAATGACAACCAGTGCAGTAACAATACGAAGAATGAAGGACCATCTTGAAAAGAACAAGAAACCAAAACCTACTTGGATATGTGACACATGTATTTTTAGTGTTAACAAAGCCTATTGTGAAGTTTGTAACATAATACATGGGAAATTATTCTGTGATAAAGGGGGATGCCCTCGTGAAGATTGGTGTTCCCCAAGTTATTTTATGCAAATAGTACGCTCCGTGTGAAATTTTTATGATATTGATTATCAGTGAAAAAAATCCTGATGGAAATATTTATGCAAACAAAACATCTGTTCTGTCTTTGATTTAAAGATTGTCGTAAATAAACCCATCGCTGCTGCTAGGTAAATCAAACTGACCATTGTCAATGACCTCAACATACACTATTTGAAATATTAGTCTAATATATAGCAACAATGTTTTGAAACATGAGATAATTAAAATAATAATGAAATTTCACATATTCAAGTAGAATCAATCTTTCATTTTCCTCTAAGCCGACTGATACAGTCTGACCATTTACTGTATGTCGGGCACGGAATGCGATAATTGAGGTTTTATCATTGATAATTACATTTTAGAAACGTACAGTTTAATTCAATACAAAAAATTTATTTAACTGATATGTGTCACTACATATTTACAGTTTTCTAAAGTGAACCATCTATTTTATATTGTTATTACATAGATAGCGACAGTGTGTTATGATTAACTTTTATTTTAATAAACGTTTACCGTAAATATTAAATATATTGTAAATACTTAGATAGCGACAGTGTGTGTTATAATTAAATCTGATTTTAATAAAAGTTTTCATTCTGTTCAAACGAAAGTGTTATCTGTTTTTGCTTACACTAAAGGTCAAAAACGTTTCTAAACTTGACATTCTTTCCTGTATAGAAAAACAAAGCCGGGCAGTGGCCTTGAATATCAAACACGTTGGACTGTAACCAAGGTGAATGTTGATTCACACCACTCTTCTTATTAGTGAAAGGTTGACATAATGTTAATTCTAAGCGGGTGAACTGTTACTTGAAGTGTTTGTATGCTTTCAATGTTAACGACGTCAGTTAGAAACAACACAAATGTTTTCTAGATCGCACTTGAAACTATGGTTTTGAACACGTATGTAATGCAAGTCACATCTCTAATGTATAAGAAAGTTCAATCGTCACAAATTTTTGAATAAAATTGTAAGTGTTGCTATTCTATATTAGTGATTAATCACATTTATTATGTAGCTAAATTATTTACTACAGAATTTACTAACAAACGAAATCTACAATCTGTATGCTAATTCATTAAATATTTGTAAAACCATTAGGTATTGTTACGACAGCGGAAGTCACGCGATGCTGAGAGCATACGCGCTGGAGTTTCTAGAAGGATCATGAATTTTCCTGGCAATTCTAGTTGGTTCAAGGCGCCCTCTTTTTTTAGTATATAAGCCTAGCGAGAATATCCAGCGTGATATAAGATATAGAGACATAGGTATGCAGATAGATTGAAGATACAGATAATTGAGTCAAGCAAGCAGTAGGCACAGTAAGTAAAGTGTGTGAATCACTGTGATTTA